TTGATATATATGATCTAAGAGATATGAACCTTCAATCCAACGGTTAGATTTTCAAAATTCACATTTAATATAAAGTTATTGAGCGGTGTAACACTTAGTAAAAGTTACACCGGTGTCGTTTCATTTTTTTCAATTTTTTTGTGGTATGTGGACTAGCCTGCTGACAACCAGCCCGTTCTTAGGAGGGACGGGCCAGCGTTTCCAACCCGTTTTTCATTGGTGGGCCAGCCCGGCCTGTTTTTGGCGGGTCAAGCCAAAACGGGCTAGACCAAGCCAAAACGGGTCGGACTGCCCCGTTTTACCACCCTTACTCACTCTAGTCTATATTATAATATGCATAGTTTAGAAGAAATTTATGCTCTTTCGTATAATGCATCTCATAGTTTCTAGAAAATATTAAATTATGAAAAAATTGCACTAAGGTCTTATTAAAAGACACACACTTCTTCTTTAATTTTTAAATGAACATTAATATCTCTTATTTATTTATCTAAGTAACACATACAATCCTTTATATAAGATAACATTATATGTGTATATTGTTAAAAGAGTATAAATTACTAATGCAAATGTCAATAATTAAATAAGATTTAATCTCTTACTCAATTTTAACTCCCAAATCATATTCTAAATATTATGTATGTTGTGATTTAAAAAATATACCAACTTCAAGGAACATTTTCAAAGAATGAGTTGAAAAATTATTGTTTACAAAATTGAAGAATAATGAAAATTTTCATTAAGAAGACATAGCGTTGTATGTAATTCAAAAACAAAGAATAAACATGCATATGATTAGCTTTAATGAATTAAATTTTATTTTTTCTCCATTTGTTATTTTAACTAATGACATTATTCGAGGTAAGTAATTTTTAAAAATTCGACGAAAAATGTGTGTCATTTAATTAGACCATTAGTAAGGTGAGTGCAATTTTACCTAAAATTATTTTTTTCTTTATTTGTTCCTATTAAAGATTGTGAGAATATGTGTTTTTCTCTCTCACTTCTTAAAATCTCTCCAATTGACATTTATTATTTTTGTTGGTATTGATACATAAGCTTTGATATGTGATAATATCTTTATCTCTCTCATAAAAATTTAATAAGAAGGATAAAATTGATAACTCATGTTTTTATTGTATGAAACTCAATAAAATCAATTAACATAACTTCTTATATTAATCTGTGTGATTCGATTAAAAATAGCTTATAATAAAGATTAAGAAGAATAAAATATTTTATTATACTAATATGCAACATGTCTTGCAAGTATGTTAAATTGGATAAGTCTTTTCATTCTTATTACTAATTAGAGCCTAAAATTAAATCCTAATTTCTTTGTATTTCACAACTTATCCTAATTTAATTAGAAATCCTTAACTTGTGTAAATAGTCCATAATTCTATTAGAAATTCTCCAAGAGGTTGTTCGTTGACTTTGTCCTTATAGAGTCATATCTTATCCTAGTATAATTTTTTTTTGAAAAAAAAATAATATAAACACAAAAATTATAACACATAGAATTAGTGTTTTCCTCAAATTAATTATATTTTTTTTTACAGTTTTTTGGTATTACACTGGTCCTACTAAATAGCACTCTTCGTACGTAATACACTAATATCTATTTAATTTTGGTATATATATGTTTTTCTTTTTAATTTAGTCTTTACATATACCACCATTTTCAGATTTCTCCCCATATATTACTCGTTGCTGCTGTTATACCACACTAAAATCGGTTAGAAGTTTTGTACTTATGTGAAGTATAAAAACCAATTTGAAAAAGATTACAACATATAGGAGACGAAATTGTATAATATTTTTTTTACCCTTTATATGTAGCATTTATTTTCAATTTCATTCCTACACTTTATTTTCATATAACTCCAACAAATGACGTGGCAACAGCAATCGACAATATAGATCAAATTGAAAACGATTATTAATATGACTAAAATTAAAATTTTAGTTTTATACAAGGATCAAATCAAAAGCTAGTGTCATCATGTACACACACACATATATATATATATATATATATATATATATATATATAGAGAGAGAGAGAGAGAGAGAGAGAAAGAGAGAAGGGATTCACTTACTCCAAGAGTAA